GCTCAGTATTAGAAACCCAGAGCTCTTCATTGGTGATGCTTGGTGAAGTGTTTGACATATTGAAGAGAGTGAAAGGAGAGAGTTATGGCAGCAGTTTAGGCCGAGAAATGAAAGAAGAAAGGAACAGAGTTGGAAGTGTGTTGTATGGCCTCAAGAGATGTTCAACAACAGGCTCTGATACCAAATGATATATTTAAGCTTGGGTTTGGAAAGGGAGGGGAGTGGACTGGTCGAGTATATGGAGGAGGATGAAGGGTTGATTTTTAAGATGGTTTAAAGGCATAAGAATAGGGGAGAAAAAGGGGGATACTGGTTGTGCTTTTTAGGAGGGCCGAAAATTTGGAAGGGAAAATAAGAGGGGAAAAGGGATAAAAACCAAGTAGGTTTTAAGAGATATAACACACTCTTATCCTCACTTGGGGTTTGAGTCTAGAATTTAATTAAGATATTACACACTCAATTAAATAACTAGAACCTAACACTCACACTTAAGGAAACCAACCTTAAGATATAGAAATTAGGATTTGAAAACAGAATACAACCAGTGTATTTCTATCTTGAAATGAAGAATAAAAATCTGAGCATTACAGTAGGCCTATGGCCGAAATTTAAAGGCACTCATACAAAGGAAAATACTAAGCTATTTCTTCCACAAATCCTAGAAAATGCAGTCATGTGCTTGAGTCCTTTCATGGAATAAAATCAGGGAAAATGGGGACAGGGATTCATGACCATAAGCGCCTTTGGCGAGAATGGCGAGCGCCATTCACAACTATGATAGTAGGGTTCACTTTGTAAGTGATTTTCTTTTAGTTTTTGACTTATTTGTCCAAAAATATATGGAAATTTATTGTTGGGATTATCAGGATCATTTGTATTCTTTAATCAAAATAAGGACAGGATTGGGATTTTGGTACTCGAGATTGGATACTTTCCACCCCTCTCGGTACGAGGTATGGTTTGTGTATATCCAACCTTCCCCAAACCTTCCTAGTGAGATTACATTGAGTTTGTTGTACTGTTGTTTG